TGTGTACAGCAATGCAATCGGGCCTAAGATTTATTGGTCTGGAGTTCAGAGTGCGGCTGATGTCAAGAAAAAGGCAACTTTTGATACATACCATCGCCCAACGACAGGCATTGTGTGGATCCGTCAAAGTTATCTATTGAACACAAGAAAAAACAAACCAATAAAACTTCAATTGGAGGATAAATTATCTCTTTATGGCACGAATATTATGGTATATTCTGACAATCATTATAACAAATGAACAAAAATAAGTCAAAAACAAAGTGATTGTTATAAGTGCTCACCTAATAAGTTGTTTCTTTGTGTTAAAACTTTACTGTAAACCAATAAATCGCCTAAAATTTGTGATAAAAAACAAAATATAAAGTTGACCATGAAATAATTATAAATTGGTTTAGATCTATGAATATGTGCGGACACATACCCGGACAGATCTGCATCGGAGGGATCACTACAATAGAACTGCGGCGACGATTCTTGTGATTAACCGGTTCTCCAAGACTTTGGTTCAATAGATTGTATGATAAGATTGTAATCATAACGATATTAATATATAATACATACAAATTAGTGTTCGGGGCATTCAAGGGATGCGGTTCTGCATCTTCTGTAGCGCTTTCATAGCCATCAGTGATGAGTTTCGGGGGTACGAGAGCTCGCCTGCGGTGGAGCGCAGAGGCCGGCGGCTCGTCGTGAATAGTCTCGTCTTCCCGTTCGCTCTCAACGCCATCCACTCTTCGTCCCAAAGCCGACAGTTTCTTGAATACAGGGTTCGTATCCGTACCCTAAAAGACCGTTCACTCAATCATTATTTTATAACTTATGGAAAATAGTGCAAAAATAATCGATTGGTATATAAAGTGTGAGAATATACACAAAACTAACTGTCAATAAACGCATTTTTATCAATTTCTGCAGATTTGAAACGTTTCTTATATTCAATTCAATCGCTTATAGACTAAACAAATGTAATAATATATTCAAAAAATGTTTTCTGTATAAAAGCAATCCATTAGTTTATGTTCAATGGAAATCTGTCTTCCACTCAGCCCTAGACAACAATGAAAAGAAAAGTTTTCCCAAAATGTGTACAATAGTTGTGTTACTATCCGTTTGGACACAACATAGCAATAGATAACCCAAAACCAGGAAGAGTTTGGAGTTAAGGAATAGAAAGGGATGTCTTTTCCATCAAATTAGTTGTCAACAGAATAAGTCTCGCAATAGATATTCCGTGAAGAATATATGCATAACTTTCACCACATCTTACGAAAAGTGAAGATTTTGTGTTGAAAAAAATTGTTCACATTTTGGGTGGAGTTGTGACAGAAAACCATTACAGATATTCATTACTTTGAAAGACAGATGTTTATGACACTCATTGCGTTATTATTGATTGAAAACTGTCCTCAACTCAGTTCAGCACATAATTATGATTGTCTCACAGTTTCGTGACAGACAGACAGACAGACAGTCAGGCCATGAGATTTTGGTGCCGCACAAAACACACATCGTTTGCATTCGTGATACTCTATGTGTGTTCAGAATATGATAATCACGTTATATTGTAAATGCATTTCAGCCGTGTTTCATAATGAAATAAGTGACATATACGGTAGTTTATTGAGCAACTTACTTGGTATTCAATTATTGTAAAGTAACGTTGTGTTTTTGTAATTCTATATTAGCAATCCAGTGATTGAGTAGGGATTATTACCACATTTTAATGACATTAATTCTATTAGTTTTATGCATAAAAAATATACAAAATTATCATAAAATAATATAAACATTACTATAGAATAAATGTTAATTGAATAAAGTAAGAAAAATATCATTAGTTTTAATAAGTTTCCAATATTTGTGCATGTATATATTTGGAAAAATAAACATAAACTTCTTAAACGATTTTTCATTATTTAATTTTAGAAAATATATTCGTCTAAAAATATTTGTGACACAAGAATGTGTTTAATATAATAAACGAATTGAAATCAAATAAAGAGAATTGGATTTTTATGCATAAATGAATTTCAAATTAGACTTCAATTCGAAATACTTTAAGCTTTTGAGCCGTTATTTTGGACAACAAATTGCAAAATAATTAAAATTATTTTGTAAATCTCATGACGCGTTTGTCTCTCAATACTATAAAAGTTATTATTATTTTTCTCATTGAAAAAAACATACAAAAAACAGAAAGAATAAGAGTTAAGTTACCGAAGACTTACATTGTTATATAAATGCAAATAATTGACGGCATAATAGACGGGAAAAGTAGAGAAACGACGGGAACGGAGGCAAAGAGTTTGGTTTAGATTTATCATAAATGCTCTCCATTTCCACGAGAGACCATCAAAATGATGGTAATTGTTTGAAACGGCACTTCTCATCGCTTCTAACTGTAATTCCCTGAGATATTCAATCTTAAATAAATCCATTTGAATCACCGGTTGTTTTAGTATTCACTACATTATTAGATTATATTAAAAATTTTCTCCGTGTTTAATATATGACCAAAAACCTAATACTCATTATACGGAAAATAATACGGTTTGACTCGATTTCTATGGGAAACACATTTTTAGATCGATATAATAGTTTGCAATGTTTTATATGTAAATGTAAAAAATTGATTAAAAAAGTGTTGCCTTTGGATGAGAATCACAAGATATTAACTAATGTGTGATAAAAGTTATGATAATGTTATGCCTTTAGAGAAAAGCACTTATTAAAGTGTATGGGTTGCTAAGGATTTGCATCACTCACACCACTACT